AATTGTTGGAATTGATTGTCAAAATTATTAGAAAGAGAAAAATAGATATAGATTTTTATTTTTCTCCTAAATAAATTAATTAAAAAAACACACATGTCAAAAGAGTAGTTGTCACATTGCAGCTTCCCACTCTCGGGACACACAATCCGTCAAGCTGTCGGTATGCTGGGAAACTCACATCCCCTGGAGAGAACTCACATTTCTCAAAAGAAATACATGGAAACTCACATTCCCTGGAGATAACTCACATCCCTCCTAGAGCAATCAATTTTTTTCACGTGCATCATAAGCACCTATCGACTAGAACTACTTCCCGTTGCTCCACCATGACATTTCACTATCCCAGAATATCATCTCATCCATGACAAACCCCCATGTCATATGAAACAACCCAATCACCCAAGGTGTTTCCACTAGAGTCTCTAGGAAATAGACAAGTTCTAACTCGCATAAAACTTCTATTCCCAGACTCTCAGAAATAGACAGGTTCTAACTCACATAAAATCTCTATTTCCATTTTCAAAATACATAACTCATGACATATCTGTCATACTATAAGAACTCACATCTTATAAAACTCAACAGTAAGAAATACTGATCTTATTAATCTCAAAATGTAATACATTACACAATGTAATGTACACTCTTTTTATTTTTATTATTCCTTCCATACTGTTATCATGATGACAAAAACAGAATTCACTTCACCAATGAATCGATGTGAAAGATAAAAATCACAGCAAAACAATCAAAAGAAAAACAATAATACAATCAAACAACAATTATTCTTTTTTATGATTCAAAGTTCGAATGAAATAAAATAGAGACGCATTCCAACATTTCTGTTGAGATGATGCAGATCAATTAATTTCTTTACGAACGCATTTGATGCAAGAAAAAAAGACCAAACATATTTTTTAACTTTACTTTACATTTGTATTATCTCACATAATATGTCTCCTACAAGTTTATGTCAATTCATAGACAAATTTTTTTATTAATGAATTATATTTTTACATATAATATTGTATCAATAATTTGTTACAAATGTTTAGTGATGAACCTAAATAATTATTTAACATAAACACCAAATAACTTTAATATTAAATTCACAAATAATCAATAAGCTAAAAACTATTACATATTTTATCATGTTAATTTTTAAATCCACGCAACGCATAGACAATCCCTATTTTATAGAGGTTTTACTGTATTTGATATCACATTAACAAAGATATTTGTGACCAAATTCGTGGACAATCCAAAATAGTTCGGCCTACCGTCCATCACTCCATTGACCAAATTCAAAACCAGATCCTAGTATCAAGCC